CTAATCAGCACCTGTAGCTAGATTTAAATAATCTGATCGAAACAACAACAATCTTGAGCATCTCGAAATATAAGAATTTTTTTGAAGAATTTCTTTTTAGTAGCTCCAAACTTTCTATCTTGGAATAAACCCCAAACGTTAAGTTGGCATTTGGCCATATCCATAATTAAATCTATAACTTACTATAGACAGTGTGCCACTGAAAGTGCTTTTTTTCTGAGATAGGATCCCAATGACTCACTTATACAAGCTTTCTTCAACTTATTTTCCATATTATAGGATACATTTGACCAGAGGGCAGGAAACACTGGCTTGACGCTGGTAAGTCTAACAAATAGTTTGTCCTCGCGAAATGTAGCAGAAAAAGTCTTATTCGTACGATTACTATTACATCCTTAGTATTATTAATGTTGCTTTGAGGTTAAATAGACCACACATTCGTTTCGATTAGTCTAGAATTCACCTTAATACCTTTTACAACATCCGTTATTATTCTATGTTGAGTATAAGTAGGCAATTTTTCTGGGCGTAAACATTACTTACTTTAATGGCTGCAGTCTTTTGACATAGCCACTCAAGATTATTTGACATTTCCTATTTAAGATGGCCACCAAAACAAGAGCAAATTTTTTCATAAAAAGTAGTGTAATCTTTCTGACTCACTTTATAACAGAGGGATCAGTCTATCTAGCTTCTATATCCTAAGTAAAAAAGTTATCAAAGAGGAAGGGAAGGATGGGTAGATTGATCTTGACGACAAAATTTAGGACAAACTCGGGAGGAGCAGGGCCAAAGTGATGAAATCCGCCGAAGTTGAGGAGCTGACTGCTGCTAAAATCCATCTTTGAAAATGAAAATTTTTCTGACCCTTAGGACACTAAGGCAACATAACCCAAATTCCCCTATCCGGCGATGCTGAATAACTAGGAGCTGCGTCCCGCATTATAATTTGTCTCCCCCTGGATTTTCACTTGTCACCAGTTGCTCAGCCTTCACATACCAATAGCTGATAACCAAAGGTTGATATTTAATAGTTAGAGTCAAAGCATTTCATTCGGCAATACCAGATATTTATCACATACATAACAGGCACCTGGAGTTTTAAGAAGCACCAATCGATTAATCCTCCCGATGAACGGGCTTCTGATTATATCTTATGAAGCCTAAGTCTACCGAATTTTGCTGACCTGAATGAGAATATCCGTAAGGGTAAATAATACATAAGAATCAAGTGTACTGTCCCGCCTCTTCAGTTAATGATTATACATTGTACTGAAACATCTCATTCATTTGGAATCCTACAGCAACTAAGTGCTCAGAAAAGATAGCCAGGGTTTCTAAATTTACTGAAGCAACATCACCCCGCTAGCACATTTAGAAATGACATATCCAAAGAAGTATTCACCCTATTTCGTATAAGGTGATGAAGGACTGGTAGTAGAATTTTCGCAC